GAAGTGACCTGTGACAAGGCAAGGGAATGGCATATTTAATTGTAGCCCATGGATTATGTGCTGCTTTTCAATCTACAGCGCCACTGCCACTGGTATCAATGGGAGGAGAGCAAAAGTAGAATATGGAAAGGCCCCACTCCTGAATCTGACTCTATGGCAGTGGATCCCTGTGCTCATACGGACCCCCCACTGATGTAATTGACTTCAGTGATTATTCACAGGAGTAAAGCAGACATAGTTTGTCCCCAAAGCTCTCACCCTAGGAATCAGCACACAAACTGAGAGGCCTGGCCACGTATTGTTCTATGGAATGTAGAGGGAAGATCTAGTAGTTTCTGGAGCTCCTGCTTAATAAAAGTAAATGGATGGTTTATCTGCATATCTATGGAGCAACTGAGCCTACCCAACTGCCCTTGCACTGCCCCCAAAACTTCCCTGCATGTCCATAACTGCGAAATATGTCCATCCTCTGTGCACACTTCCTCTTGCTAAGCAGACTCACAGCAGTTCTACCTGTTCTGAGCAGGGTAAGGCCATATGTATGCTACAGAGTTAAGTCAACTTAAGTTTTGTCAATGACGGTAAGTTGTTTTAATAGCATCGGTGGATATATTCACACAATGCTCCTTGTGTCGACTGAGCACATCCACAGTCATTGCATCGGCAGAGAGAACGTTGCATCGTGGGTAGCTATCCCACTGTGCAGCTTGCCATCCTCTGCTGCTGGGAGCTCTGGGAGTGGATCACGGTGCATCATGGGGATGTGCTCGCTGTCCCATGATGCAGTTCTTTCCATCCCATCATGGACTTCCTACTTCATTTTGCTCCATTTTTCAACAGTCCTTGTGAACTGTGCATCCGCCATCTCTGCCTGACAACACAGATCCTGAGCTGCTGACCATTCTGATGATGAGCATGCTGAACATAACGCGGCTGGTCCTGCAGTATTACATGAGCTGCGAAACAGAGAGTGTATCGGTTATGCCTGCCCTGCTGTCTGCCATGGAAACAAATAATTCAAGATTGCTGCTGGCATTCACAGAATAGCTTGCCATGGTGGAGCGTCGGCATTGGGCTCAGCAGGAAACAAACACTGAGTGGTGGGATTGCATCATGATGCATGTATGGGATGACGAGCAGTGACTGCAGAACTTTCGGATGTGCAAAGCCACCTTCCTGGAACTGTATGCGGAGTTTGCCCCAGCACTGCGGCACAAGGACACCAGAATGAGAGCTGCCCTCATTGAAGAAGAGTGTGTGGCGATCACTGTGTGGAAGCTGGCAACTCCAGACTGCTACTGGTCAGCTGTGAATCAGTTTGGAGTTCGAAAGTCCACTGTGGGGGCTGCGGTGATGCAAGTGTGCAGGTCCTGCTACCAAGGACTGTGACTCTCGGTAATGTGCAGGAAATAATTGATGGTTTTGAGGCAATGGGATTCCCTAACTGCAGAGGGACAATAGATGGAACACATATCCCAATTTTGGCCCCCAACCGTCTTGCATTGGAGTACATCAACTCAAGGGCTACTTCTCCATGGTCTATCAGGCGCTGCTAGATCACCACAGCCGTTTCACTGGCATCAGTGCAGGGTGGTCAGGGAAGGTGCACGCATTTTTTGGAACACTGAACTGTATAGAAAGTTGCATGCTAGGACCTTCTTTCCAGAAGATTCCAATGGGGGGGGGGGTGAAAATGCCCATAGGGACTTTGGACACCCCACGTACCCCTTACTCCCAGGGCTCATGAAGCCTTACACCAGAAACCTAGATAGCAGCAAGGAGCGCTTCAGCAACAGGCTCAGCAGGTGCCGAATGATGGTTGAATGTGCCTTTGGCCAATTAAAATGTCTCTGGCACTGTCTTTTTGGCCCGTTAGGCCTCAATGAGGAAAATATTCCATTGGCCATTGCAGCCTGCTGTACTCTCCATAATATTTGCAAATCAAAAGGGGAAAAGTTTTCCCCAGGGTGGGCCGCTGAAGCTGATCAGCTGGCTGCTGATTTTGAGCAGCCAGATACAAGGGCAATTAGAGGGCCACAGCAGGAGGGTATTTGAATCAGAGAGGCTTTGAAAGAGCATTTTGACATTTTGAGCTCCGAAGAAGTGGGCTGTAGCCCACGAAAGCTTATGATCAAATAAATTTGTTAGTCTCTAAGGTGCCACAAGTACTCCTGTTCATTTTGACAATGATTGCCAGTCATGTGTCTGTATGTGGTGCATTTGGCGAGGCAATATTTAGTTGCCGCCATAAATTACTTGCTTCTTGAGTGTTAATTGTAAGGAGCAAATAGTCCTACCTATAGCCAATGTGTCTCAATGTTAAGACTGAGCGATGTATGCATGTAAGTATTTCACAAATTAAGATTTATTTTATTTCAAAGACTCAAGTTTAATAACAGAATCAAACACAAACTTTTGGTCAAACAGGGGACATGACAAAGAAGAACAGTCTCGCAGTTAGGGCTCTCGCAGCTGGCTGTAACTCCAACTTTCATTGTGAAACCAGTCCCCAGGCGTGGAGTGCACGGGGTACTGTGAGGATCGGGTATGTGCAAGGAATGCGCTGGGGGGAATTTGAGAAGAGCATGGACAGCAGTTCTGTAGTGGCTGGAGGAGAAGTCAGACACAGATTGCTGCAAATGCAGGCTAATGAGGGACTTCAATATCTCTGGTGTTCGAGGAGCTTTATCATCTGCTACTGTCCCTGTGTACTTTCCTGTCTATCCAGCCTAAGTCTTTCATTAATTGTCTCCCTCCACACTCTTGTTTCGCTCTGTGCTGCATCTGTTGACTGCAGCACCTCGCGAAACAGATCCTCCTTACTCTTCCTCGGTCGCCATCTTATCTAATAGAGGTACTAAGCCGCTGTGGAGGAGTGCATTCTCAAGGGCACATCTGCAGAAGGCAAAGAAACAATGAATAGAGACAGTATTGTGAGTGCGCTTACTGCTGTGAATCACAAAAGTTACACATACCTCTTTCTCACTGTCCCTTGGCTAATACACAGGTCGTCGTGAGCCCTAATTATGGTGCGTTCACAGGGAAGGAGGTGGTGGGCAAGAGGGAAAGGGCAGGAAGGGACAATGGGTGGTTTGCGAAGGGGGGTTAATAACCCACTAGGGAGCCTATTGTGAATACTGGTACCCTTTTCCACTGGCTAGGGTAATAGAACCCAATATCTCACTCCTAAGCATGCATCCTAAGCAAGGGAGCATCTCCTATATGCGTGTGGTTTCAGACCGGCTCCATATGCCACTCTGGTCCCTCCAGAAATAATTGCTGGGTGACACAGCAGTGGGAGAAACAGGCAGCTCTCCCACGGAACCTTCAGCAAAAGATTCCAGAATACCTACCGGAATGTTTCCTAGAGATCACTATGGAGGATTCCCAAGACATCCCCGTGTACATTAACAAACTTTTCTGCCATGGCTCCACTGAGTAGATGGACAGGCTCCACTCTGTTGTTAATTTCTGTCCCTTATCCCTCCTCTACCATATAACAAAGTACATGAGAGCTTAGTTTCCTCTCACCAGGCAGTCTGAGCACTTGAGCAAAATGAGCACTTACCGGAATTCCCCTCTCCTGCATCCTGTGTGCCAGAGCTGGAGTGCTGGGACTAGCTAGACTCCTCCAGAGTGGAAAAAAGAGGTCCTGACTTGCCAAAACACCAGAAAACCCTTGCCGTGTGCTCCACATCGTCCTCCAGCTCCACCTCCTCATCCACTACTTCCTCATCAGGGTTGAGTCCGCTGGCCACTGCCTCCAGTCCCCCTGAAGTATCCACGGGACTCTTGGCAGTGGAAGTGGGATCACTGCCATCTGCTGAGGATGGCGTGCTGCTCCTCATGTCTGTGGCGCCATATCAGAGCAACGGTTGGCCTCCCTTGTCTTCTGGCATGCCTGCCTCAGCTCTTTGATTTTATTATGACACTGTTGCGTGTCCTTTTTGTGCCCCTTCTCCTGCATGCCATTAGCAATCAGCCCGTAGGTATCAAAATTCCTATGGCTGGTGCGAAGCTGTGACTGCACAGCCTCCTCTCCCCATAGACTCAGCAGATTAAACAGCTCTGGTGTGCTCCACGCAGGAGCACGTCTGCTGCGGAAAGCCAGCATAGTCAGCTGGGAAGATGCTGTGTCAACTGCGCATGCTGAGCAAACAGGAAGAGAAATTTCAAAAATTCACGGGCCTTTATATGTGTGTGGGGGGGGAGGAGATGTATACTCGTGTACCTTCAGGGCAGCAGAGTTCAAACCACTGACCAGAGCAGTCATGATGGGCATTCACCTCCTGGAGGTCAATTAGGGCGATATAACCAAGTGAGGTGTCTACACTGACGCTGCGTCACTCTAACTACATTACAAAAAGCTCTATGCCACTTGTCAAGATGGTTTTATTATGTTGGCATAGCAGAGGAGTTACATCGGTGGGAGGAGCATTTCAGTATGGTTTTGTTGACGAAAGCTGACTTTTGTCGACAAAACTGTGTAGGCCTTAGATGACAAAATGGCACTGGCAGCTGGTCTACATTAGCATTCCCATCATTGCTAGCACTGACAGGAGATTTTGAGAAAAATCTTAGCATTTTAGTCCTGCAAATTGGTCCATCTTCCAACCACAAAATTAGACAAATGCACCACACCTCACTGAGATTAACAAACATAATTTCTAGGTGAAGCTGCTTTTAGAGATGAAAAGTTTAAAAATATTAGAAAACATTCCAAAAGCTAAAACAAAAAAACACAGTCCACCTAATTTTTAACCTTCATAGTTTGCAAAGCCCTGGTTTGATTTTTCTAACACTTTCCATAAAAATTCTTATATATAGGATCATTATATACTCTTGTAAGGGAAATATGTGATTTAACCATAACTATGGAGAGAATAGTTGGCAGAATTCTGTTCTCAGACCAGTGTAAATCTTGAGTTACTTCAGTTATTTGAAGATGGTGTAAAAAAGCAGAACTTGTCATACTCCTTCCTTAGTGGCTGTCTAGTAATATGTCCTGGGGCACTAAAAAGAAAGGTCTGACCAAACAAATCAAAGAACTGTTGGCTGACATTCTGTCCTTTACCTCACCCCAGCGTATGCAGGTATTTTGGTACATATATGTCCTAAGGGTACTGCTTTGCTTAGTTGTAAAGGGGTAAGATAAGGACAGAATTCCTGCCTCAGCTTTTAATTTCCTTGCTTTTCTATGTTTGTCAGACAGTGAATGTTATTTTAACAAAGATGTTGTTAAACTTACTTTTTTTATTTTATAGGATTAAAACCTCTTTAAGGAAAGAACATAAAAATGGACATAATTGATTAGATACAAAATGATAGATCATATATTACATAAATACTTATTTAAGGCCCTGATCCTACAAAACTTATTCATGTATTTAACAGTATGCTCTGTAAGTAGTCCCACTGATTTCATTGGAGTCCTTAGCCTCTATTATTTACTGGATATTAGTAGCTCAAAAAAAGATGATAAACCAACATAATTTAAAAACATTGATCTAAATGTGCAGCAGCATTTTTTTAAATGTAATAAACAGACCTGGTTAAATAATTCTTATCAAACTACTTATTTAATTTTGCAATAGCTTAAAAATAGTCAAAAATATTTCTGTTATTCACCCAGTTTTTATGAATAGTTGAATAATTCACTAATGTGGCCCTTGAACCTGCAATTGTATTTGATGAAAAAGATTCTTGCACCTCTTAGTGGATCGTATTCCAGGATAGGGCTATGTTCATTGAATAATTTACTCAACATATTTCAGGAAGTTTTCCAAAAAAAATTTCATGATTATTAAAAATGATTCCTTCAATGTTAGTAATAAATTGTTAAAATAATGTATCTGCTCCTATTTAACAAATTTTAACTCAAAGTAAATTTCCCACAAAGGGAATAATCTCCTGAAAAGAGAAGATGATAATGGAAATGATGACAGACTGTTACGTATATATCGTATGCAATTATAATTAAACAAAGGAATATAGTTATCTATTTAAAAAGTCTAACTTAAAGCTGCAAAGATGATTAAGGAATTACAGTTCCTATTCCATCCTCAATTAATCCTATCAAAAGATTCAGCCTCTGGCTACTTTTTTAACTCAGCTATAAACCACTAAAAATATTAGGTGTATAAAGAAAATGACAACTGATTCTTAACTAACACATTACAAGTACAACACTTAATGGCTTACACACCATAAAGTTTGACATATCTTAGAAAGATAATTGTCTATTTCTGTTAGAGAAATTAATTTTCTAAATTAAAAATTGCATCCATGAATGAAAATCAGAGTGACAGAGACACCTTTAGGTTCATTGTATGCTTTCCTATAATTAGACTCATATGGAGTCAATCACTGGATTCAGGTGTTTTGATGTGAGAAGAAGAAAAGTAATAACATTTTCCCTTTCTCAGAAAAAGGTGATGATAGGGCCACTTGATGGCTTAATAGATAATTAATGAAATGACAGAGCTTTCTACCTCTCAGTCACTGATCTGTATCTAGTGCAGTTGCTAGCACCGCATAATTGCTATCATTTTATGATTGTTTGATGATCCATGAGCTGTCAGTCTCACTTCTCTTTCTAGTGGAGAGGTGTCCACATAATAAAAACCAGCCCCATGACAATTGGTATTAACTGATTTTATAAGCCCCAGTCTGGCAACTGGCTCTGCATGGGCAAACTCCTGTGCTCGCACAAAGTACCTTGACTTCAGTGGGGCTCTGAGTGGGCACAGGAGGTACCTATATAGAGACAGTTGTAGGAATGGGGTGATAGTTGATAGTCTCAAGCAAAGAAATAAAGAACTATTTGGTGTGATGACTAAAAGATCCTGCCCTAGAAGTGATCAGGTCAGGGTTATAGCATACAGAAAAGAAAGCTCAGACTTCCATTACATGTTGAAGAGTACTTAGATACAAGCATATACAGTGTAGGAACACAGGCATACTGGATCAGATCTGTGATCCACCTATTCCAATCTTCTGTCTCTACAGTGGTTACTACAAGCTGCTTCAGAGGACAGTCCAAAAAATCCCACAGAAGGGAGATAGATGCTTGAGATTCTGCCCCTATGAAAGCCTTGTGTAATAGTTGGACATGGCTAAAACCCTGAAGCATGACATTTTATATCCAGGGCCGGCTCCAGGCACCAGCTTGGCAAGCAGGTGCTTGGGGCGGCCACTCCGGAGAGGGGCGGCAGGTCCAGCTATTCGGCGGCAATTCGGCGGACGGTCCCTCACTCCCGCTCGGAGCGAAGGACCTTCCGCCGAATTGCCGCCGCAGATCGCGAT